TCCTGAATCAGGCAATTTCGTGTCCCAGTTTTGACTGATAAGAGAACAGAGTCAAAGTGAAGATGGGAAATTCATATACGTAGACTGGGATTGGAAGAATTTTGAGCAGATGAACGAGCGCCACTGTTTGCGACACCCAGCCATATCACACTCAGTGTCTCTAACCATTAGTTACCATGATCTCGAGATCCCCAGGCCAGGGAACCTAACGGGACCTATGTGACCCAGTGTCCTGGTTAGAGTTTTCACACCCTCGTGCCAGGTCTTAGTTTGACCGCCCCTTTTTTCAACTACTGCCTGCCTCAGCAAATATCGCGCGCATTGGAAACCTATCTGGTGACATACCCAACACGTGTCCCAATCAGTGTAGTCTACGGAGGTCGACCACTTGTTCCGGTGGACGACCGCGACTGCCCAAACCGCCGCACTACTTATCCAGTTGTCCCACAAAACTGGTGCATTGCGGTGTAGACATTGGCGTTCGAACACCGACAATCTATCTGTACCTTGATCTTGTAATGGTAAAGTCTGCACCGTAGAGCAGGACTTGCCGAACTGCTGCAGCATATACTTGACCCTTCACAAACAGTCGGATGTCTCGACGGCGCCACAGATGTATTAAGTTGGCAAATACTAATCAAGCTTTCTGTATGCGTGCGGACACTTCACCTGGGCTGCGTCTACCAGGTGAGATATAGCTGCCTAAATAGTAAAATTTGTCTAATTCTCTAGTTAGTGAGATTGGGAGCTGGGCCGATCCAGTCTTGGAGAAACATTTTACACTTTGAAGGTGTAAAACGCATACCAAACGTGGCTACACTAGCACCCAAACTATACAGAGAAGCTTACAACTTACCCGCATCTTTACTTAGCAGCCAGCACAGAGAGAGAGAGAAACACTAGGAAGCACCTGAAATGGTCTAAATCAGTCAGCGCACGCCACGAATGTGGTGGAGTGTCCGCACGGCGAACTAAATCCGACCTCGTGAACATGTGCCTCTCGTTGCGATCTCATTCCGAAATGCATCAGCTTACGGGTTTTTTCAAATTGGTCGTCAAATTGAAATACGATCGAAGTGTTTGTGATAATCGACAAAACGCGCGCCGAACAGCTGTTTCGTCCTGTTTGAGTCTCATCAGTAGTGCATACTGTTTGTGTCCCCGTGTCAGGATGCGAAAAGCGAATCTTCAGGGTTGGGATTTCAAACTCTTACCGCTGAGCTGTTACACGATCGACTCAATCAATTTAGACGATAAATGTTGAGATCAGCCCAATCCACAGTGCCTGATGCCTGCGAAGAAACCTGGATACATTGATCCAAACATGCACTGTCTAAATTGGATGTGAAATGATTCGGGGCATTTTTCATACGCAATAGTACTCACAATGGAGTAGTGATACTGAAAGGTTATCGTACTGGAACAAGATCGTTCCGGACGGTCCAAAATGCAGGACAGATTGACCGTTTTATTTCATCTAAGCAATTCCACCATCCGATGATGCATTGGCGGTTACGATGCTTCAGTCCCTGCCGGTCAAATTTTTGAGATAGGCACGTTCAATCGGTGCAACGGATTATTATAATCACATCTGTGGACAGAATATAGTCTTTCCTGTTCCGTTTGTTGACAGGTTCTGATGCAACGCTTGTCAATGTAGCGACAAAAAATCGCATAAAAATGTGGATTGAAGAAGCAAACTGGACACATGTCCGCACACATGTATACACACACACACACAAACACACATTTACCAACCAAATGACTTAGTTTTTGTACACTTGACGGGTCATGAAATTCTCTATCGCGGGTGTGTTAAACCCGGGCGGGCGGAAGGGGGGAGGGAATCGGAACGCACGACACGGGGGGTGGGTGAGAGATAAAGTGCACCGGAATACTCGGGTTCGTGCCACAACACTCAATACATGGTTTGTAGTACAACGACAAAGAGGGTCACACACACACACACACACACACACAAACACTCAGAGGAGCACAAGTATTAAGGCGTTTCCTCTAAACCGCGTGGAATGCATAACCGGAATCCTCCCATGCACAATGAGAAATCAATCATCACTGAACTGAAGTGAGCAACCCGGCCAGAAAGTAGCATCGACCGTATTCTGGTCGTGCAGTTTGTGTCAGGGACGGGATAGGACAATCGAATGTGTATCAATGTTCTGATTAGGGACAGAAATAAGATGTAAATGATACGGGTCCTCACAACGACATAGGTGATTATTAGTATACCATGCGATATGATCGACCATTAGGCCAAATCTACTCGACAGTAGGAACTAGCTATAAGCTAAGCTATGAAACGGTACACAGATATGCATATAATCTGACTAATATAACGCATGACAGGAGTCCTATGAAGCGTTGACGTAAGTCACTACGATACACAGTTTAGTTTGACTGAAGAATGGTAGGTATGTCTTTTTGAAATGATCGGTGAAGGCGAGAGCATGTAATCCGGGAGGTATAAA